ATTTTTCCTTTGCTGCTAGACTAACCTTAAGAAGAACGTCTGATACGGCGAGACTACGAACCGTGAGCCGCGCACCGCCTATAATCACTGGTCTAGCTTTAGTCGTTGTTTTTTTATTATCGACCTTGAATCCGTGGCAGTTTTTCGTACGAAAACTGGCACGGATTCAGGGTCGATAATAAAAAAAACAACGACTAAAGCTAGACCAGTGATTATAGGCGGTGAGCCGCTTCGCGACTCACGGTTCGTAGTCTCGCCGTATCAGACGTTCTGCTTAGGGTTAGTCTAGCAGCAAAGAAAAAAGCTCGGCACTCCGCCTAGATTATAGGCTAGTGGAGGGGTAGATGATTAGAACAGTGAGGAAGAGCACGAGATAAATTGTATTTTCCCGTCCAGGACATAAACACAATTATGTTACGTGTGAAGAAATCATGTAAAATCAGATGAAATATTAAAGGTGTGGTGGGTAACGGATCATAATATACATACCTGCTCTGTCAGTTCATGACGATTATAACCCTCTCATCAGCAACGCTACTAAGCCAATTCTCATGAATGCACCCCCAAAATGTCAACAAAACAAAAAATTGTCAGCCTATCAAGAGGCTCCTGAGCATAATTTCGCCAGGGTGAGCCTAATCTACTTTCTATATTTACAAACATTGGTAGTATGAAGGTTAGGGGGTGAGGAGGGTGAGGGGAGGGGCGACTATACTTTAGCCAAATTTTGACCTTTAGCTCATTGGCAGGAAGTTCAAGCTCTCTCCACACCTGTCAACCAAGCTTTTGAATATCAGAATATTATTACTTTTCAATTTGTTTATGAATAAATTATGATTTAATTTTCTCACATTTTCCTAATAACCAATATGACTTTGTATAAGTTTAATAAACAGATCATTCAGCTTTTCGATAACTCGTCTGGAAAGTCATCGGCGCTTTAAGGTGAGTATACTAGTGATGTCTCGGTCGGCGGCCAAGCCCGGCTTGGAACAGGGTGTGAAGTCCTATAATTGGTGAATTCAACTCGACTCTTTATAGAACCTTAGGTCTGCCGAGCCTTTCCGCCCTCCACCAACACGAGCAGCTGACGCTGCTGTTGCTAATGCATTGAATCCATCCCTGTTGCGATCTGAAAGGAAAAGAGTCAAACACCAACCCCGCAAACACAAATCAAAATGATTATATTATGTGTGAGGTAATTCTCACCCCCGTCAGGATTCCATTTAGCTTTAATGAGTTGTTGAGGCTGCGCGGGAAAGTGGAATGAGGGGGAGACCATGTAATTACATTGGGAGAAAAAAAATAGAGGGCGAGGTATAAGGTGGATATTGACGATGTGATGTACACCTGTGCGCTATGTGTGAATTGCCAGTGTGAGACGAACATGAAGGGAATGTTGAGGGTTATTCTAAATGATAGGCCTTTGACCGAATGATAGAAAGGGATTTGTGGAATTATTTGGAGACCAAGGTCATTATCATCAGGGAAGGGTACAGTCAGCAGAGATGAAGAAAGAGAAAGATAAAGGGAGAGAGAGAGAGAGAGAGAGAGAGAGAGGGAGAGGGCAGAAGTAGGGAAAGTAAGATGGAGAGAGAGAGAGAGAGAGAGAGAGAGAGAGAGAGAGAGGAGAGAAAAGGGGGGGGGGGCAAAAGTAGGGAAAGTGAGATGGAGATGGAGATGGAGATCGAGATCGAGAGAGAGAGGGAGAGAGAGAGAGAGAGAGATGGGTGGGAGAGAGAATAAGAGGGAGAGTAAGAGGAAGTTGAAAGGGGGAAGGCAGAGAAAGAGAGAATAGTTGAGAACAAGACAGAGAAGGCAAACAAAGCAACAACAAAAAGCTGTAAGACTTGTAGAGAAAATGAATGGATCAGCAAGTCTAACAGGCTCCTAACTCATATCTGACTTAGTGTAAACGTACTCCTTCTGTGCATGTCTTCAAGGCGTTTAGTAACTCTCTTCTTTTATAATCTTGGAAGCAACCTTCGATGCATGCACATTATCGTTTGTAATCAAGCAGTCAACTCGGAGCAGGTGAACATTTTCGCGCGATTTAACCCGACACTTCGCGCGCAAATTGCTATCGCGATTAATATACAGTTCCATCGACCTCTGCGACACTGTTCTCGACACTTTTTCTTTGTTTCTCCTACTTTGCGCCCCATTTAAAGTAACAGTTTCCAGTAGTTTTGCCAGCTGATTTTGGGGAAAAGTAATTTGGGGAACTCAAGGAAACATGATTTAATTTCAAGCACGGGTAGATTTGAATTGTTTTTGTTTTCATATTACCGTTTAGGAGTACTGACAGAAAAATGAGATGAGGTAACAAACATAATATAAAAGAGATAAGCGTATTGCTGAGCTTATGCTGCATTTAATGTAATCTGCAGGGTGGAAATATACAATAAACATATAATCAAATTCTAACTTCTGAATTTGTTTAATCTTGAAATTATTTTAATACCCGTAGATCACGGTGCAAATTACTTGCAAACAAATCCTCTCTAGAGCTCCCCCTCCCTTCTCTCTCTCTCTCTCTCTCTCTCTGTAGCGATCTCTCCATCTCTTTTTCCCTCCTTCCGCTCATGGCCTCATTTAGTTATATATTTTTAAATCATCAACAATACATCTTGCTCCCATCTTTTTAATCCTTTTAAACTTCCTTCGAAATGTCATTTGATATCAAATGACTCTGCTTTTCACCGTCTACTATATTCATTCGTTATTACTAATCTTCTTACATGACCTTCGTCTCTCTCTCTCTATTTTTCTCATCTCCCTTTCTCTCTCTCTCCATCTTTGCATTTCTTGCTCTCTCATTCTCACTTTCACTCTCTCTTGACTACTACTCTGTTCCTCTCTTTCTTTCTCTCATATATGAATACATGGAATTTGAATAGGGTTTATTCTAGAGTTTGTAATGAGTATGATATTGTTATTTGTTAGGAACTATAAATGTTTCATTTCTAAAACTGATGTTATAATGTTTTCTTTTCCGTTATTGTTATTGTGTATTGTCATGGTAACCCTGCATGAGCTCCATCCAGTGCAATTTAAATCTGTCCTGGGTTTATTATTCTTATACCGTATGTATTATCATGAATAAAGATGAATAAACAACTTATCTACAAGTATATTAAGCTTTATGTTTTCCCCCTAAATAACTTCTAAACTTACATCAAATTCTTCTATTATCTCAATACCAACCCTTCATTCTTACACTTTAAGAAAGTAACAAATGATCCCAAATGACCAATATTTTTGCAATATTTTATTCCTCAGATAACAGATAACAATATGAAATATAAACAGCTGTACAAAAGCATTCTCTGTTTTCTGCAAAAAGCAAAGTCCATTCAGTTAATAATAGAGGCGTTAATGAAGTTTGAACATTCATTTTATAGTTTACAAAGCAATTTTGTCTACACAAGATTAACACAAAAAAATTATTCCAATAGAACATTCAGGAGGAATAAAAAAGGAAAAATAAATTCCAGATCATGATATTCTCTGATTAGAAATTAAAGAGATTTTTGAGAGGATAATCAAATTTTACTAATAACATAAAATATGAATAATTTATATAATAGTGATCTTGGCATGATAAAAACAAGATTTTGACTTGAAGATTGAAATATTGAGCAAGATACTACCTTTATCTACATCAACTCCAATAACACATTCCATCAATTAAATTGTTTATATTCTCTCTATATATAAAGCATTTAAATTATTACATATTGTGTAATATATTATCACTTTAATAATTAACACCTGAAGTTTTGAAACAATTTGGATAAGGCCAGTGCTGTGATACAGATGAATAATAAATATATCCTGAATTTTATTAAATGAAGTGTAGTCTTTCTGCAGACTATATAGTTGGTGCTTAAGGAATGTATTTGACCAGAATGCGATCAATATGATTTCCTGGGTGTTTTCTCCATACTATATATTATCAACTAATTTCACAAGGGAAAACCTAAAAAACCTATGAATCAAGGTTTATTACTTTGCCATCAGACACTTAAAAAGTCTTATTTACAAGTATCAAATCAGAGTTTCTATTAACTCCAGGATATGTTCAGTAGATAAAAGGCTACACAATTGAATAGCACTCTGGCTCTATTTGACAGGGATGATAGTGAGCGCTAAACAAAAAATAGGTTTTTTGTTTTCCCCTCAACCACACCTCCCTTTGGTAAACAAAATAGGAGAGGATTCGCGGGGGGAAAATGGCATCTAACAACATTCCCCCTTTTCGAGTAGGAAAATTGGGGAAAAATAGGGAAAAATAGGGGAAAAATAGGGAAAAATAGGGAAGAATAGAGAAAATTAGGGGGGATCAGGAAAATTAAAATAAAATAGGGAAGGAAAACAAATCTGGTAAAAAAAAAATTAAAAAAAAAAAAAAAAAAATCTGGATTTTTTTTTTTTTTTTTTTTTTTTTAAATCGGGAAAAAAAATCGGGGAAAAATAAATAAAATCGGGAAACCGATTTAAATCGGGTTTTTATCAGGCCTGATTTGATAAGGCTCTCATTTCCTTTATAGTTTTATTAAAAAAAGCAGGGTAAAGATAGCATAACAGAGGGTGATGATTAAAATAAGAAATGTCTTCATTACCTGCAGTAGTTACAGCATTACTACATGTACGGACATTACCTGGAATGTAACAATAATGTTGACGTTTCATTTAAGTCGGTAAGATGAGATACGGTCATATCACCAATGTCTCGGTAGTCGGAGCCCTCTTCCTCCTCCAACTAAACAGTGCTCTCACTTTTTTGCTACAAGGGATCATCCACAGAAAATGATTTAACATTTTAATCAAAATCCAGGACCCTGTTTCATAAAACTCGTTATCAATAACAATTGCTGCTCTCAGCCAATCAAATGCCACTATTTTAGTAGCTTGTAACAGTTATTGTAACTTGTTATTGATGACAAGTTTTATGAAACAGGGCCCAGACCCCCTGCTTCATCCCCCCCCCCCCCCTCCCCATCCTCCCCCACATTTCTACAAGATGATTAAAGCACATTCTGCTTTACATATAATATTATTTGAAGACGATTGGAAGGAATAATTTCTCAAGATGATAGTAGTAGTATTATATCACATTATACACAATCTATGTATACACTCCGGTGTAGATCACCCTTGGGTTTCCACCAAAGCTGGACTAGGATCTGGGTTCTGGTCCTGGTCTTACTTGACGCCCTTCTTCTTGCGGGCCCGAACCTTGTGCTTCTTGGTCTTGGAGTCGACCAGACTCTGGGCCTGCTTCTTGAGAGCATTCCTGGTAACGATGTCTTCGTCGTCACCGCTGTCCTCATCTAGAAGAGACACAGAAAGACGGTATGGTTAGGAAGGCATCAGATGATGAATAAATAGACCAGGGGGGGGGGGGGGGGTGTTGCACAAAGACTAAAATCAACTTTAAGTTGGACTTAACTATGGCAGGCCATTTATGCCACTAGTTCCTCTAACCATTCCTGGCATTGGTTTCTCCAGGGACGTACAAATCATGGTCACAGATCTACAGAATTTACCCTTTTTTTTTTATAGTTCATTATTGAAGCAAAAATTATTATCTAAAGATCATAATTGAGAGACCAATGATGAGAGCAACTAGTGGCATGAATGGCCTGCCATAGTTAAGTCCAACTTAAAGTCGATCTTAGTCTATGTGAAACACTTCCCAGTTTACGAACATGTTCAAATTTGATGAATACTTTTTAAACAAAGGTTTTTCTTGACCTGAAAACTTGCCATAAGGCTTTCGCGACATAGCAACAAGTAATATATGCAGACTAATTTCCGAGTATTGTCACTGTTCATTCATCAATAGCAGGTTCAGTGAAGTGAGCAAATCTCCACTATGTTTGTTTCTTCTTTCATTCTCCCTGGTCTCTGAGGATGCCAATTCCCTTCTAGCAAGATAAGATATTGGTACTACTTCCCTTGAATAGACCATTTTTGAAATGTTATCAATTTCAATGCACAAATCTTTGTTGAGTGCCTGGTTACAAATCAATTCGTTTACCTGTTACGAATAATTGTATTTCAGAATGCAAATTGCAAATATATTTATTTCTGCGGCAGGACAAACATCATGACTTGTTCTACCTAACAAAATGGAATGTATGCAGTTCGCATTCTGACTCTTAAAATATAATTACTCCTAACTGGTGAATGAAATAATTTTGTAACAAGGCACTTAACAAAGATCTGTGCATTAAATTTGTATTACATTACGAAATTGGTCTATTGGAGCAGTGTGATATTGTCTCTTGAGAGACAGAAGGGCCATATCATTTGACACAAGTTGAATACAGTGAAACCTGTCTATAAAGACCACCCAAGGAAGACAAGTGGTCTTTATGTACGGGTTCCTTAAGTACATGTTTCAATGAGAAACCATTTCCAAGGGAAACAAAAAACGTGGTCTTTGCAGACAGGTGGTCTTTCTATACAGGTGGTCTTTCTATACAGGTGGTCACTAAAGCAGGTTTAACAGTACTTACCATCATAAGTAGTATCCCTCTGAGTAGTAGGTAGCTTGATGCGTGTGTTTTGTGATGGTAGCGCCCCTTCAATTCCAACTTGGAACTGTGAGAAAATTATCAAAAATATAGTGATTAGAGAGAGGAAGGTGAGGAAGATTGTATTTCTTTTACATCTCTGACATTTCAATCATGTGATTGTGCAGTCGCTGGACGCCCATCACTCTTTATCATCAGTGTCGTTACCCGCTCATTTTTGCAGGAAAAACCTCCGATGACTTCATCTTTATCCTACAAACATTCATTACAGCTAATTTTGAGCTCTGGTATGGGAATCGTATTTTGAGAGAAAGTTGCTATGATTTATTCTGGATTGTTTATCCTGCAGTAGATTGGTTGGTTGAACCAGTGAAAAAAAAACCAACTCCCATTTGCACAGAGATCTGTGTTAGTCACGTGGTGTCGGACCGAATTACCCAAATATCCTTATCTTTCTTTAGATGCTCTTTACTCAGCCACTATACATTTTTTCCCGAAATTGTGTGGCAAATGTCATTCATTTGTAATATTGAACATTCAGTGTAAGTTTCGTTGAAATCTGTGAGAACGTATTTCTATATTTACCAGAACTCAAGTTCATCTTTAACATAGTCTCCATTTTGTATATTTCATTGCCAAGCCATGTTTACTGGCTGTTTCATATTAAAAACAACAAGAAGCGTTTATTTCATGACAGGAATGCCAACAAATGATCAATCTTCCTTTCAACAGCTATCGGATCAACTCATCATAAACATCACCCCACGTATCTACAAACTGTCATTTCACACAACCAATGGCTACTCTTGTTGATCCAAACAGTACACTAATCAAACTAATTTGCGATATGCAGGTAAACACCGGCTTGAGAGTCCTCGTACACGCTCTCTTCTAGGGGATCAATCATTTACTGCCTGTGCATCGAGATTGTGGAATGGTCTTCACCAAATCCTTCGTTCTTGTCACCAGTTATCCACTTTCAGAACTCAACTAAAGACATACCTATTTCAGATTGCTTACAATTAGTCACTGCTATTTTGTTTTTCCCAGTAAGAATCATGAACAGACATTTTTGGTAGTTTTTCAGTCCCATCAGCGCCTTTGATTAGGCAACTAGATATTGGCGCTTTATAAATACCTGGATTGGATTGGATTGGACTAATCTCAGCCCCTGAAAGCTTTTTCACAAAGTTAAAGCCTGTTTGCACTAGTTCGGCCAGGGAGATAATACCTCCTTGCAAGGTCAGTGATTATCTCATCAAATCAGCTCTCAATTTACATAAGAAAAGGGGATCATGGGGAACCAACAGGTACCGATTAGGCATGGTTTGCTATATAGAGGGCGCAAGTAGCTATAAGTAATGCAGTGTGGCTTTAACCTACCTCTTCTTCCTCCATCTGCCTGAGTGTCTCATCGACATCGTGGCCATCGAGTTCCTCCATGAGTTTGAGAAGCTTCTCTTCGCAGGTTGCCAGGAGATCTAAGACGAATTCATCTGCCTCGGCAGACAGCTGTGCCTGAGGTACGTGACCCTTGTTCTGCACAAACAGGAAAATACAGATGATTTGAACACATGCATGTAATTTAAAAAAAAAACAACAGGAAAAATTCCTCTATACTGCCATGCGTTATGGTTCAAGGCATGGCCACACAGAGGATTTTTTCTGTTGGGGATCGGGGGAAAATGCAATGAATTCTTGATTATTTATTGCATTTTCTTTGTTTTTTAAAAATTTATGTGGTTGCCTCCTACTCTAGCCCCTGCTCAGAGCTGCCAACCTCCAGAACAGAAAATCAGTAATCACAAGGCTCAAAATCAGTAATTTGGGGTATAAATCAGTAATTTCTTATGCGGCGCTATGAATCTAAAAAAACGACACGCCAACACTGCGCGGACGCATGATTATCTGAAATTTTGGTGATTTTACTCACACAAAGATGTTAAGTATTGAATTTCAGGTCATCACAACACAGTTTATCATGAAAAATGGCTCCTATTCACAGCACTCGCTACGATAAATCATATTTAATTCATTAAAAAAATAAAAAAAAAATAAAATTTTTTTTTTTTTTTTTTTTTAAATCCGTAATTTGAGACAACATTCCGTAATGGTCGTTAATTTCCGTACCAATTACGGAAAATCCGTACTAGTTGGCAGCTCTGCCTGCTGCATACAGTCATGATTCAGTGGCAAAGCAATGGCCTCCTAACTGTGACGCCCCAGTGTCAATATGCTATACTAGTTCCCTAGCTTTGTGAGGCATTAATCCTCATTAATGTCAGTTATGACTTTAGGACGTAGGTCCCCTAGTTTATAAGCATAGTAGCACACACATGCTTTAGCAGTCACGCAAAACAAGTCATTCCATAACTTGGGGAAAAAAACTATTCTACCTTTATGACTAACAGTGTATTAACAGCATCTCCCAATGACAATGACAATCGCTCCCCTACATTTATCTTCCATCACAATTATCTAAGTAATTTTGGATATGAGGACAAGTGGGGAAACTCCCAATCCATAGAGAACACTTCATCATGGGTAAGAGAAAAGTCCAGCACTACTTACTGCTTTGATGTGTTGAAGCTTATCGGCCAAATGGGAGACACCGGCCTTGACTTGGACCAGGATCTTACTGCACTTATCAAGCTTCTCTGAGGACTCTCCGCAACGTTCCACCTCGGTCTTGAGATGGGCCTGGAACTCCTCCAACATTCTCTGACCACTGAAAAAACACAAAACATAAGACATTTAAAACCTTTCTGCACTAGTTTGGCCAGAAGGGATTACACCTCCCTGCAAGGTCACTGACAGGTGGTTATCTCATCAAATCAGCTCTCAATTAACATTAGAAAAAGGAGATCATGGGGGACGAACAGGCACCGATTAGGCATTGTTTGCTATATAGAGGGCGCAAGTAGCTATAAGTATTGCGGTAGGGCTTTACGTGTCTTCTCTCATCCTAAAGACCATTGCAAAAGTTAATTCCTTCTGTGGTCTCAAACAATTTCATTCAAATTTTCATTAAGATTAAAGAATAAGTCAAAGTATAAACTGCAAAGATAAAGTGTAATACATCAATGGAAAGTTTGAAATCCTGTTTTAGAAAATACACAGAAACAAACTAGATGGATCTTCGACTGCACGCAACATACATATATGAACCAAGTTCGGCGGGAATCTATCAATCACTAGAACGGTACGTACGGTCGGACAGACAGACGGGCAAAATAAAAATATTATGCCTCCATCTACATCGTTATGGAGGCAAAAAAATAAATTCTCATAACTTTAGTTGTGAGCTATTGGGTATCAACCATCCTTGGTCGAGAAGAGCATACATCAAGTGCTTCTGGTAACGCAGATAGCAATGCATGTCTCAGCTAAATAGGATAGGTATGCAGTACAAAACGTTGATTACCTTGATAGTTTGGCTTCTCCTGAGTACTTCATCTCCTCAAAGTCTGTGTTGAGTCTGGATTTCTCTTCCTTGAGACGTACGACCTGCTTCTCGTTGGTTTCCTTCAGCTCCATCAGATGCTGGTAGGTGAAGTTCTGGTTCTCAAATCGGTTTACAACCTCCTGTGAATCACAAACCAATCATAAGCCATTATAATGAGGCTTGCCATAATCTAACAGAATAGAATAGATGGAGTTCAGGTTCTCAAGGCAAAGTACTCTCTTCCAACTTTTTAGAAGATCGTTTAGTACCAAAGATAGTTAAACATCTGCCAGCATAGGTCTACACAGAACATACTGTATAGTAATGCTCATTGCAACTTTGCGTCAACTGCAGCAATAGTGTTAAAATCACAATCATATTTTTTTTAATTTCTAAAACTGAAGTTTCAATCCGAAACACAGGAGTAAGGTTACGATGTAGAGTGGTGAAGTGTGACGTCACCAAAAATTATTTTTGGAATTTCTCAATTTTTCCACATGTTCCGAAAAAGCATCAAAAATAATGTCCAAATATCGAAAACCAATTGAAAATGTTAAGTACTAGCTGAGATATGACCATCTGAATAAATAGATTTCCTATAGGAACTCAGTGTTATATTGCTCTGGTTCAAACGTTTTCGACATTTGGACATTATTTTGTATGCTCTTTCAGAAAATGAAGAACAAAATTGAGAAATACCCCCCAAAAATGTTATGATGTCACAGCTTTGGTACTCTTTACTTACAGCAAGATCTGAGACCCCTGTAGCTTCCTTCATAGCCTGGAAGGCTTCCTCGAAGGTACCGATCTTCTTCTCTTCCTCCTCCCCGGTCACGAACTGCTTCTGCTCTGGGGTCAGGTCATCGTGCTGGATCGATGCTCTCTGGAGCTGTGAAGATGAATTAATACAGAAACATTTAGTCATTCACTCATTCATAAGTTGAAACATCAGGCCTAAAAAAAAAGAAGATATTGTTGTATTGCCCTTTGTGACCGACCCAAAAAATCTTGAAATGTACGGTCAGTTTATTTAAAACGTTTTTTTTTAAAACATTTTTTAGAAAAAAAATGTTTTAAAGCATTCAATATCAGCCCAAAGAAGGAGTAAAAATATTTAAATAACTAGATGGAATTCGACTGCACGCAGTCGAAAATGATGCCTCCGTTATAGAGCAATTTTACAACCCAAAACAGAAAAAAAAAATTGAATTCACGTTCAATGGTAATCCATTGACAGGTTCTCAGAATATTGTGATTACAAGCAATTTCTCATATACATATATATGACCCTTTGATCTTTGACCTCATGACCATAAAATCTACTCAGTTCATTGGCTCTGCAAGATGTTCTGAGTTAAATAGTAATCCATCTGTCAGTTCTAATGAGAATGCGTTCACAAGCTATTTTTGCATACATAATGGGCCCATGACCTTTGACCTTTGACCTTATGAACCAAGAATCTACTCAGTTCATTGGCTCTGCAAGTAACAAACATGACCTAATTTTGGCATGAATCCATCAATCGGTTCTTGAGATAACGCGATCACAAGCTGTTTTTGCATTCATAATGTGCGCTGTGGCCTTTGACCTTTGACCTACGTGCTCCAAAATCTAATCAGATTGTCTTCTTATGGTGATACACACTATCATTAAGTTTGAAGTTTAAATCTCCAGTGGTTCTTGAGATATTATGATAACAATCTCAATGTATGGAATTTCATAAGTTGACCTCTATGAGCCTTGACCTTTGACCTACGTGCTCCAAAATGTAATCAGATTGGTTTCCTATAGTGATACACACTATCATCAAGTTTGAAGTTTAAATCTCCAGTGGTTCTTGAGATATCATGATAACAATCTCAATGTATGGAATTTCATAAGTTGACCTCTGTGACCCTTGACCTTTGACATACGTGCTCCAAAATCTAATCAGATCGTCTTCCTATGGTGATACATACTATCCTTAAGTTTGAAGTTTAAATCTCAAATGGTTCTTGAGATATCGCGCTAACAAACTCAATACAAGGAATTTCATAAGTTGACCTCTGTGACCTGTGACCTTTGACCTACGTACTCCAAAATCTAATCAGATCGTCTTCCTATGGTGATAAATACTATTCCCGAGTCTTAAGTTTAAATCTTAAATGGTTCTTGAGATATTGTGATAACGGTCAAACGGGACGGACGTACGGACGGACGTACGGACGGACGGACGGACGTACGGACGGACGGACGGACGGACGGACGTACGGACGGACAACCCGAAAACATGATGCCTCCGGCACCACCTTCGGTGGCGGAGGCATAAAAACAGATTTCTGACCGACCGACCAATGTTTTGGCACCTAAAGGGCAATACAACATCTGTTTTTTTAAAGGCCTCAAGGAGGGAATATTTTAATTAATTAACACCCTTCTAGCTCTGAAAAGTTGATATTTATTCATTTTTAATGACTGTCCCTAAGGTTCCTTAATACTTCTAGACAACATTTGTTATCATTCCAAGCTGCCATGTAAGACAATAAAGCCTTGACGAACTTGTTTTTTCTTCTCCTGTAGGGTTGATAAAAGTCTGGTGACACTATTTTCTTGACCATGAAGTAAGGCGTGATGGCTCAGTGGTAGAGCAGGTCTTTTAACCGAGAGGTTCCAGGTTCAAAACCAATTTGATGCACTGGTGCCCTATGGTAAAGCATTAATCCTCATTACCAAGTAACTTGGAGAGGACTTAAAGCCATCGGTCCCCTGGTTGCTTACTTAGAGGTCTACACATACTCTCTTAGCAGTCAGGTAAAACAAACAAACCAACCAAATATTTACTTCAAACACATTGAATCCTACACAAAGCAATCACTTTATAATGTAAAATTATTCAGTTACTACAGTACTACATCAATGAAGAAGACTGACAGTGACTGACAAACTTTGTACGATTTAATCAACTAGTTTGCACCTTATGGGTGAATATCACTCTTGATTTATAATACTACAAGAAATGAAAAGAGAAAAACTCACCCTCCTCTCCACCCGCTCTGCATGAGCCTTCTTCTCCTCGGCCTGTTTCTTGAGTACGGCTAGGGCTTCTTCTCGTTCTCTTCTCTCTCGGTAAACCGTTTCCTCGTGTTTGCTCAGCTCAGCCTGTTGAATGATAAACAAGATTTAAATAATAGATCGAAGTCCATAACTAGAGATAGTGGTGAATAACAGTGTTTCATGTGATACTTGTAAGTAAATTATCAAAGTCATGCATTTTCTAAAATTGCCCGACTGTTGTGCTTTTTTCCTATCATATATTTCTATGATTGCCAGTCTTGGATGGTAAGTGTAAACCAGGATCTTTTGCGTGCATGACATAAAGTTTACCAATGTTTCAAATGTCTTGGATTAATGAAAGTTTCAAGATTTTTGTTAAACTCCTCAACACCCTAACAATTTCAGATAATCTAGGATCTGGTAAAAGCTGTTGTCTAATTAAAGACCCTCAAAAACTTTCTTTACTGATCTTTCTATGCACATATAATTGTCAGGGCTAACTAGGCATCAAGCTCTGCTTATGTTGGAGCCCAGGGCCCAGGGTATTACAAAGAGTTGATAACTTGATATCAATCGTAACTTATTTTCGATTGATATCAATCGCAACTATGTACATAAGAGATAGGAGACTGCAAACTTGCGATTGATTGGAGGACTTACGATTGATTTGGATCAATAGCAACTCTTTGTAAGACGGGTCCCTGTCCAGTTCTCTTTAAAATAAGCTTATATTTCTCCATGTATGTTTTAATGCATACTGATTTTATTACATATTCAGAACTTAGAAAAACAAAATTAATTAAATTAAATGAAATAAAAATGAAAATATACCTTGGCAGCATCTCTAGCGATCTGGGCGTCCTTGTTCATGGCCTGGAGTTCCTTCAGCTCTTCCTTCAGATGGTCTATCTCGTTCTCCTCACCGTCAAGGTCATTGCCAAAGGTCAAACTGTCCCTGATCATCTGCTCCTTGATAGCCAGGTATGTGCGGTTGATGTGCTCGGCCTCGTGGAGCTTGAGGTTGGCCTTGTCTAGACGATTCTCCAACGATCGTAGGGCCTGCGTAGATAAACAACATTAATTCAATCAAGTTGAGATTGTTAATACAGTCAAACCTGTCTACAGCGACCGCCCAAGGGAAACACAAAAAGTGGTCTTTGTAGACAGGTTCCTTTAGTACATGTTTCAATGAGAAACCATTTTCAAGGGAAACAAAAAATGTGCTTGTTGTAGACAGGTGGTCACTAAAGCAGGTTTGACTGTAAATTGGAAACAGGATTTCATTGATTGCAATTAAGATGTAAATTAATTCGTATTAGACGAATCTAGACGATTCTCCAACGATCGTAGGGCCTGCATAGACAAACAACATTAAATTCAATCATGTTGTGATTCTGGATAGCTTGGAAACAGAATTTCACTGATTGCAAGATGTAAGTTAATACCAAAATATTAGACGACATATAAAATTATTCAAAAATATATTCATATGTACACTTGGCATTCCATACTTAGTCAGTGGATTAAAGTTAAACCACAGACTTAAGTTAGTTCGCTTTCGAGAATACCACCCATTGACTTACCATTGCATCGTCCGATGTACCGGCCGTAGTAGCTTCTGCATCCGATGCATCCTTGAGCATCTGATCATGCTGTACCTCAAGCTCCGAGTAGGTCTTCTCTCGCTTCAGGGTCTGAGACTTCTCAGCGTTGAGACGCTTCTTGGCCTCGCAAAGCTTCTGGTCTATGATGCGGATTGCTTCCTGTGATAACAAAGGATAATTTCATTTTATTTATTTGTTCCCAATCAAAGCCCGTCTGCACCCAGCATCACTGACAGGTGGTTATCTCATCAACTCAGTTCTCAATTTACATAAGACAAAGAGGATCATAAGGGACCAACGGGCACCACTTAGGCATTGTTTTCTAGAGGGGGCAAGTAGCTACAAGTAGTGCAGTGGGGCTTTAAATGTATGAAAATATTGTCTGTCACAGAGGCGTTGACTCTGTGTTGCAGTACATAGGAGTTGATGGGTGGGGGGCTGATTCCTTGAAAACAAACATCGTTTAATACAATTGTTAAGTTTTTACCCTCTAATAATACTACACAATTATATGCAAGACTACTGCTCTTCAGAATTATTTGAGGAAGAAACACAGGAAGAAGAAGATAGAGGTAGGTTACCCACCTTTCCAGATTTGCCTCTGAGAGAGGCACGCTCCACCTCTCGACTCTTGAAGGCGATATCAAGTACACGGTCATCTCCCGCCTTGCTTGCTGCTAGCCGCTTGTGTAGCGTCTTGTTCTCCTGACGGACCTTACGGATCACATCAAGATTCTGCTTGATGGTCCATTGTGAGCTCTCATAGTATGCCTTGCGGTCACCATCTAAAGAGAAAATATAAAGAAATTGCTGAATTAGGCCCATGAAACAATTTAAAAATATTAGCTTGATCTAGATCTAGACCCTATTTCAGAATCAAGACCAATATTATACTAGGTCTAGATCTAGGGGATTCTAGATTGAACGTTTATCATTTTAGACCTGTATTTAACTGTAAGTGTAACTGTAAAAATTAAACAAAAAGTGAAACCAGACACTCTTGTACTAATGTTGTAGGCCTAGGCTAATTGTTGTAAGCATAATTGTTGGCATTAGCCTAGATCTAGGCCTACACTAAGATTGTGCCTTTTTGTGGATTCATTTATTTCCACAGCAAGAGCCAAGAAACTTTCTAGAAGTAGAATATTGATTGACCATGCACACACAAATGTTTATGGTTTTACACAGAGTAAAGAATCCAGTGTAGGCTTAGAATCTAGGCCTAATTAAGAGAAATCACACTGCATCCTTGAGAAAAAAAAATCAGAAAACACACACTGTCACAGTCACGTACTCACGCAGCTCAATTACACTCAACAGCCAACCTGATTTGTTCACATTTTCAGAATGTCTTTGCCTGTTGAACACATAGAAATAAATCATGGTAGGCCTATATTAAAACGACTAGACCTAATTGTTAAACTTAACTTCAAGTTCAAGTCTTACAAACTAGAGGTCTACATTATTAGCCGTGCGTGGCCGTGGCAAGGCAGGAAAAAAAGAAAGACAGTTTCACTCACCCAACAAGGATATTTTCCGCTGTAACTCTGATATTTGTTCCGTAATTGGAGTGTTGCTGTTTGTTTTGCCAACACCTGGCATTTTCAGGCCTTTTCCTGTCCCTCTTCTCTAGTTAGAATGTGTAAAATATCAAAATAAACTGTCAATATCATGAACGATCTCTCGTCTAGATTCTAGTTGTCAACATCCAGTTCAGTGTGATTGTTGTTTACACGTACGTAAATCATATCTGCGTACCGTATACGCACATAGTATGCCGTGCATATGCATTCACTAGCGCAGCGAGATCGCATTTCGCGGAGGCTGTTTTGTCGCACGTTTCCCGTAGCAACTGACCATAGAGCTGATAGCGCCAGCTGCGACTAGAAGGCGCGCAAAGCCGCTCTCTCCCTACGATATACCATGGACCTTCGGATATACGAACACGAATTGAAAATGGATTTACAAACAGAGGTGGATCCAGGCTTGGCAAAGGGAGGGGGGGGGGGGGGGGGGGGGGGGGGGGGTTAAGTCCAATAAATGAGACGGAAAAAATATCATCCTAATATTCTTTGTGTGCCATTAGTTTTGGCTAATATATTTTCTGACAAGCAAAGTAAAAAAAAATATAAAAAATCTCCCTTTTCACCTGTATTTCTTTTGCCACCAGTACACCCCACCCGATATAAGTCCCGACATAAGTCCAATAAATGAGACGGAAAAAATATCATCCTAATATGCTTTGTGTGCCATTAATTTTGGCTAACATATTTTCTGAAAAGCAAAGTAAAACAAATACAAAATCTCTCTTTTAAAGGTAAAGACCAGTATTGGCAACGCCCCAATTTCAAAAAATGAAATGGAAGCTCTCATTACCATCATGTGAAAGAATATGTTTTGACTAATACATGATGATAAAAAATTTGCCGGGAAACCGCCTACTAATTCATATATTTGGTAAACTTATTTCTCTCATGGTCTGGTGAGAGAGATAGGGTAGTCCCATATACATCTTTCTGTGTATAGTGCTTGTAACTTTACGAAGAATGGGCCAAATTTCCTATCATTTTGATGATTCCAGAACCTTGCAGATGCTAGATGCTAGATGATCAACCTTTTCTGATCGATTACACAACGTTTCTTTCACAATGCAATCGCATGACCATTACTGGTCTTTACCTTTAACCTGTATTTATTTTGCCACCAGTACACCCCCACCCGATACTGACTACGTTATTTTTTTTTTGTTAGCTACCATATGGGCTAGCAATGTTTAAAACAGTAATATTATTCAAAAATTCCAAACCCAAATGCCACAATTATTGATATCTTATAACAGGGGCGGATCCAGGGGGCCGGGTAAGAGGACATATATATATATATATATATAGGGGGGGGGGGGGGTAAGAGCACATTTTTGTATATATATATATATATATATATATATATATTTTTTTTTTTTTGGGGGGGGGGGGGGGTGCACGTCCCTGTTTGCCAGTACATTTTTGGCGAATTTGGGGCTGATTTCAACATTTTTTTATTGGCCGGGGGGGGGGGGGCACGTGCCCACTGTGCCCCCCCCCCCCCCTGGATCCGCCACCGTATAACAATTTTGAGCCCGGTCCAATATTCTGAATGACGGGGTATTAGGAAGAAGAAAAAGATGTTTTGCTGGTTTGGAAGCTCATGTGGATTATTTCAAGTTACAACGGACCAGTTTGTACGCTCGTTTGCAAATTTGTTTTGATAGGAAACCTAACTAGTATCGGAAATTTGGTCCTATAGTAGGCCTAAATTTAAAAAAAAATGATTAATTACTCGCTAAAGATATGAACTGTGGAGCAAGTGTTCAAAGCAGACAAGGTCCGATTTTTGGTCTCTTGATCTGTCCTAGTTGAAGAACAAAATTGTTACATGGTAAGCTAGGTCATAACCATTCATGCAAATCTTAGAAGACATTGATAACGGATGATAAAAATTAAGTTTCGATGGATAATATGCAGATATGCTAACTTTTCTCTACTTTAAACACAAGTTATTTATTTATTTACTAATGCATGCAGTGGCGGATCCAGGGTGGGGGGGGGGGGGGGGGGCGGCCCCTGGGGAAAAACATGTAAAAACACGTGATTTTTTTAAAGCTTTTTAGGGGCGCTCAAGGGGGGGGGGTGCAAATTTTCAAATTTACGAGGGCCAAAAAAAAATGTGCTCAGGGTTGTGAACTAGCCTATTCACAATATTTACAAAGAACAGGAAAAAAAAAAAGGGGGGGGGGGGGAGGAAAAACAGAAGTATAATAAGTCTAGTAAAAATTCATGTTCGATATAGTGAGAACTGATATATAGATTTATATATACAGGGCGTATCATAATAAAGGATATTGAAGTTTAATGACGATTTATATGAAAACTACTGATTTCATAATCAAGCATTTTATGTCTGTTGTAAAGGACAGAATTTCCTCTTGTTAATGACACCCCGATCATACTACTACTGTCACAGTTGACTGAATAACAAAGCATTGCTGTCCACCATGTGAAAGGTGCACTGTGCCAAGTTTGATAACATTTCCTTCTTAGACACATAATCCACTCATTGTTCAGCATTTCAATATGTCTGGGCTGACACAAGCACTAATCTTTAGAATTTATCTGTAATTGCTAACTTGTCACAGTGCACCTTTCACATGGTGGACAGCAATGCTTTGTTATTCAGTCAACTGTGACAGTAGTAGTATGATCGGGGTGTCATTAACAAGAGGACATTCTGTCCTTTACAACAGACATAAAATGCTTGATTATGAAATCAGTAGTTTTCATATAAATCGTCATTAAACTTCAATATCCTTTATTATGATACGCCCTGTATATGTAAGTAATAATCTTACATCTGTGAAATGATAATACATTTGAGTGCTCTTTTAAAGGAGTTTGGTGATTTGATATTTCGAGAACTTCATACATCTGGGCCCCTATGTCTGATTGATTTCTGGGCTAATGTAGTGTGAGAATTGACCACATGTAAATTCGATGACTTGAGTTTAATGAGTTATTGGCCTGATAATGCAAAATAGGGATCGAACTTCGGACGCTATCCCAAGACACGATGAATGAAGAATGCAATCATTAATGATAATGTTATTGCAACTGATACAACTGGTGGCACGATCATTATCAAAACCACAATAATTGTATAGCAGACGACAAATCAATACCTCGTGACAAATTACTGTTGTCAGGTGATGAGGGTAATGAACCAATAATGAGCCTCTAATCATACGCGCGTGCGCGCAAAACTTTCTTTTTGTGACGTCACACGTTTATATGAATGGGCATAACAATCGAGTCAAGTGCATGAAGTGGACATACATAACAATACATTACTAGGGCAAGAGGTTGTAAGGTTAAGAAAAATTAATGACATCTTCACTCTTAATTCAATATTTTGATTAAGAGAAAGAAACCTAAAAATGGCAACAGCATGTATTCATATGCTACCCACACCGGGAGCAAAATGTGAAGCAGTGGAGATTAAAAACCAGCATCAAGATAGTTGGGAGATTTTTCCCGAAGACAAGCTAGGTGCTGACCGCTACGGGAGTTTGTACGCTCAGGACTACAGCCTGGACTCCATCAAGCCTAAGAACGGAAAAGCAGCCAATGTCCCATCCACGGTTTGGAGGGTGTGGCAGGGTTACCATGGCCACATCTCGCCTCCTAGAAACAACCCACACCCATCAGTGGTAAGTGATCTTTAACCTACCCATTCAGTGCTTTTAGGCTAATGAGAATTAGATCACTAAAGTTCATGTTCATCAACGCATTTTGTGTGTTTTCCCTGGGAAACGGCTCCACAAAAGAGTTTTTATAGTTAGACTCTGGAGTCTATATCATTTTTAATCTTTAATCCCCTCAATTTATACTAGATTCTACAACTTTTTATTTTTTAGCACAATGCATCTTTATTTTGGGATGGGCATCCTTCATCTCGTTAACCTGTCATTTTATTTTTAATTTTATTTTCTTCTCTTTCTTTATTTATTTATTTTTTTTTTTTGGGGGGGGGGGGCGTAGATGTCAATAAATTTGTATCGTGAGAAGATTTCTTTTCCTGTAAGAAAAAGAACAACACCATATTTTGTTTCCTTCATTTCTGGATATCTTTATCGTTCAAATTTTTACTGTTGTTTAATCGTTTAATTGTTTAATCGTTCAATGTAGTGCATTTTTGTCTGGCCGCATAACTAAATATGACGCTCTCTCGAAGAAATTATCAAAAAGTGCTCGAAATTTAGTCTTCATGATGAGTGCAGACATCTTTTTAAGGTCATAGGATTTGTCCCAGGCTCCGGGAGTCGGAGTCTTACTGGCTCAAATATCTCGGAAAATACAAATAAGTGAGAACAAAAAATTAAATGCCTGAAAGAAAACAAGTTAAGGGCTAGATTTATGCCCCAGGTTAATTTGGAACATGAATAAAGTCTCCCAAACTAGGTGACGCGAAAATATCGACAAAACATTTGAAGTCCTAATGATGATGAACGTGACAAGGCTGTGGTATTGATTTGATCATACATAACCATTCGGAGGACAAAGAAGAGTGACTTCGTGACATGAAAGACAGAAACAACACAAGCGACCACAATCGTTTTCTGTCGATTAGCAAAAAAGGGTTGCGGTAGTTTGTTTGTCTAGCATGTATGAGGGATCAATGTCATTGCCTTAGTTACATTTTCTGAAACACGTAGCTGACACGCTCTGAACTGAAAGGAATTATCGCTTGGAGATCATCAAAGTCTCCCAACATCATGAACAGAATATAGATATCGACAGAAAATAATATTGGGAGCCGAGCCAAGATTGAGAGTAAATGTATGCATTTCCTAATGTAGAGGATTTAAGTCGAGCATGCAAACACCTTTAGGTGACACCCCCACGGGACCCCCACCAACAACAAAAAAAGAAAAAAGAAACAAGTCAGATGGATAGATATCTACATGACTGTATATAATTTGCAAAGGTGTTCACAAGTTTTACCTCCTTTAAAATGCCCAGGTTATGGGCAAAATGATGTCTATTCTGGCCGTGTTCTAAACGAAACTGAACGGCCCTGTACCCATTCTTTGCTAAGGGCAGGCACGTAGCCGGGGGGGGGGGGGGGGGGGGGGGGAAGGCACGTGCCCCCCCCCCCCCAAATTTTTCAAGATCAGTTGAAACTTTTTAGACCCCTCCCCAGGACGTCGATCAATTACATGTGCATGTATGTG